GATTTCAAAATCGTGCACACCAGTTCTTGAAAGTCATGCGCACCATTTTTGAAAGTCATGCTCACGATTTGTCAAACTAGTGCGCACCAGATTAAATCTCCGGCAAACGAAATTATTTTTATTTACATGAGACTTAAGTGCCAATCTGCCTAAGAATCAGGCAGTGGTGAAAACATGACAAACAAAAACCCGCTCAACGTTTCATTAATTTAACTTCAGAATGCATGAAGAGGCATGAATATAACATTCGTTTCCTTTACCTGTTCTGGTATTTCAAATTATAATTTAGTTAAAATGCACTAGAAATTAACAATTAAGGGGAGACAACTCCGTAATTTGCTATCATTCTAACCCAAATTTATCGAAATATTTCTTGAATTACCAGACACACAGAAACTAAAGACCTACAATTTCTAACTCCTGATAAGGGTACCTTCAAAATAAAGTGGTTAGGTCGGTGGGGTTTGTTTTTGTTTGTTTTGTTTGCCATGTTTTGAAATTCTTCTAAATTGCCTGATTTTTACAAATAGTTATCAAAGGTATCAGGCTTATAATTTATTACGCCAGACGCACGTTTCGTCTATATAAGACTCATCAGTGACGCTCAGATCAAAATAGTTAGAAAGCCAAACAAGTACAAAGTTGAAGATACAAAGACACGCACTTAAGGGGCTCCGTACATAATTATGCTTTACTATACCGACTGTATTATCAACTACAAAAACTTTTTTGTTGACGTCTTTGTTTGTTTTAATGTGTTTGAAAGACAAATTCGGTTGTATTCCATGTCTGTGATGTATCTTAAAACAGTTTTGGCTGCTGGATCCCAGATATGGCCACGTTAACCAATTATGTCTGTTTGGTTTGCTCACCCAATTTGCAATAACGAATAAGTGGCAACAGATCTTTCACGATCCTTTTCATGATCATCAAATTGCGGTACCCGATCTTTCACAATCCGAATTATCAAATTTTTACAAATATTAACATTTTTACAATTTTTTTTATGAAATTTAATCCAAAAAACTTTTTAAAAAAAGAATAGTAAACGATTTTTTTTTTAAGATAAAAGTAGTTTATGCATTAAACTTTAAAAAAAAAATCATATTTGTTTACCTTTTTATTTCTCTAAAATTTTTATGAACAATCTGCCTTTTGTAGACGTCCATTTTCTCTGAACTAGTACACTTTTTTTGTTAAGGAGCCAGCTGAAGCCTCCCTCCGGGTGCGGGATTTTCTCGCTGTGTTGAAGATCCATTGGCGGCCGTGGGCTTTTTTTCTGCTATTTGGTCTGGCTGTTGTCTCTTTGACATATTCCCCGTTTCCATTCTCAATTTTATTGTAAAAACGGTGTCCTTTTAAGCCTGAATTTTTCTCAGATACTGATCCTAATGTTGAAAAATTTTGACAGACAGTGTTATTTTTCAATATTTGTCATTATAATTGATTAAATTAGATTATTTACTGACGTTGCATATGTTTCCTCTGTACGATTTCCTTCACGATCCTATACCTTAAACCATTGTGGTGACGTCAGCTTATTTATTTACCGTGGATTCTTTTTCTAGAATCAACGCTTCCTAAATCTGCCGCTGAAATTGACTCACCAAATTATATTCAATTGTTTCCTTTTTGTGCCTAATTTCATTAAGTTTGAATTGGCTAATTTACTGATTTCTGTTCACTAATGGAAATAATTTAAAAACTTACCTTTAATTTTTGTAATTTTTACATGCCTTCACTGGGAATCGAACCCTTCCTTGAAATCTGTTATGTGTGACTGACATCAACACATCGACGAAACCTCTCGGCTACCAATGGGTTACACTATAGATGTCTATTTTATATATTTAAATGAACATCTGATATACATCGGTTCATCGGACACACAGGGCTTGTACCTTTATATAGACACAATAGGCAGTCGTATAGTATGAGTTGGTAGCCGCAAGGTTAGCGTGGTTAAAATCAATGAGTTAAATATAGGGATTTGTCGGTTTAGGTTCGAATCCCTGTATTCTCTCTGTTGTTCCATTTCTTAAGTTATCCTGGTTTTATTCTAATTTTGCATGTTATATTGAATATTTTTGTAATAATAGCGAGTTTTACCGGTTGTTTTTTTTTATTATTATTGGCTATTTCACATGTTTGAAACAAAAATGATTACATTCTATTTGTCAATTTTTGTTTTATAAATATAGTATGATTTCATCTGTTTTACTTCATAATTTTACAAAGGTTTGTTCGCAAATTCCTATGTGACAAAATCGTGATGTGCCTAGAGTGATAGAAAAATTTCGATAACATACTTATTATATATACTTTATATATGCTTTTTGGTCGGGTTGTTGTCTCTTTGACACGTTCCCCATTTCCATTTTCAATTTTATTAGAAATAATTTCGAATATGTCTTATTTTGTATAAACAGATAATATTCATATGCCTGGTAATATAAAGATCTTTAAAAGGTAGAAGTGTTATATTGGTATTTGGTTAACCAATTAATTATGATCTGAGATTTATCAATGCAACGTTGGACACGATAACATGGTTATTTAAATTCACTTACAATACCTTCTAATTAAGAAAAGGCTTTAATTTTGAAAAGAAATTAGCACAATAGTTTAAGTTATAGATACAATGGATAAGCGTAGATTCATGAAAAACAAACCATTCGCCCTCCGGGCTCATGGTTTCTTTTTCAAGAATCCACGCTTATCCATTGTATCTATATAACAGATCTTTCACAATCCAATCGCTATTCAAAACCACCGTTACTTATTCTTTCTTTGATGTTGACTCGAAAATTTAATGTGACCGTGCGTTTAATGTTGTTGTTCAGATTAATATTTGGTGTTCATGTATTATGAAAAATAAGCAATGCTGTTTTTCCTAAACATGTTGAAGAAAAATATTTGGCCGTTCTATCTACCAACGTACAAAATCAACTGTGAAATAGAACCATTAATATTTGTAACAATATCTGTTTTCAATATGTCATTGTAATTTCAAAATTGCGTACACTTTTTATGTACAAGATATACGCACTGGTGAAGTTGCATCGATACGCGATGTATACCTCTTAGATCTAAACAGAAACTGAAAACGTAAACTGTCACTCAAGCGTAAAATGTAGGTCGTTGTGTGAACGATCTTTATTATCCAAGATGCATCCATTAATGACGTTTCATCAGTTTGTGATGTAAAATGTATAGTACACTTGATATAGACCGAAACCCAACTTAAGCATAGGTTTCGGTGGCCGTGTATGTGCTTAATTGTGCAAGGTATCTGTATTCAATGACAAAATGTCATTGTAATGGGTAAATTTAACCCTCTATATATATCCCGATGAATTATTAAAAAATAGAATTGAATATTTTTAGAATAAAAGCTCTCATTTTTACGGAATACTTTGAATAACAAAGTAAGCATTATCAAATCATTCTGACTTTGTTCAGTTTGTCAGCGAGTCGGCTGAATTAACACTCTATTTGATGGAAATGGAAAAAAAAGATTCCTACTGTGAAAATACATCGCATATACAATAGAAATGAATCGCCCCTTTAGTGAAAATGAAAGAGTTGTATCATTATTCGACAGTAAACATGAATCGCATAGCAAAAGCAGCATAGTGGAATTTACCTCAATATCATTAAACTGAATAACAAAACCGGTTTAAAGTTAAACATATGAATTGATTATGTTAAAAGGTATATTTTCCTGGCAATAAAAATTAATTCTGCTTTTAAATCTCCTGCACGCTCTATTCGTGAACTATTCTTAACATTTCCCTATCTTAGTCACGATTTCACACCTGGGTCGCTGTAAGTGGGATATATACCCGTCTGTATGTCTTACCTGTATCATGAGTTTATTAAAACGGCACATTTGATATATTATTTATTATTTTATTCAAAAATCATCAATTTTTCGTCTGTTTATTTATCGTTATACATTAGAAATTTATGGCACATACAGTGAAAATGATAATTCAGGATCTATATACACTGTATATTCTTTAACGTGAAAATTACCACGTTCTCTGTGCATTACTTAGCTTACTGAACATGGCAAACGTGAACAGTCTGTGCGTTAATTGTGGAATTATGTGAATACACTAATTTTGTTCTCATTACATCGTGCAGATTGTCTTCTACCTATCATTCTGAAACTAACTTACTTTCTTTTTTAACACGTGATGCTTAGATATAGGAAGATGTGGTATGAGTGCCAATGAGACAACTCTCCATCCAAGTCAAAATTTATAAAAGAAAATGAAACCATTATAGGTCAAAGTACGGTCTTCAAGACGGAGCCGTGGCTCACACCGAACAGCAAGCTATAAAGGGCCCCTAAAATTACTAGTGTTAAACCATTCAAACGGGAAAACCAAAGGTCTAATTTATATAAAAAACGAGAAACGAGAAACACTTATGAACCACGTCAACAAACGACAACTACTGAACATCAGATTCCTGACTTAGGACAGGTGCAAACAATTGCAGCGGGTTTAAACGTTTTAATGGTACCAAACCTTCTCCCTTTTCTAAAACAATAGTATAACATCACAACATAGAAAAACACACTATAAAACATCAATTGGAAGGCTTAACTCAATCAAAAAACGTAAATTAACACACAATGAACGAATAAATTTGACCTGTGACACCTGAATGCAAATACACAATTAATATAAAATTACAAGGGATAAATAATTAAAGTCAAAAGTAAATAAACAGGTTTAAACAAAGTTAAAATATGATATCACTGTGAAATGTCAAACAATTTTTAGAAAATCATCACTTTTGAAGAAACCTGCGTCAATTATACATAGGCTTGTTTACTACATCTTATCATTTTCAAATGTCATGGAAATGTATTGTAAACAGCTGCCTTAATATTTCAGAGAGAGGTGAGTGAGAATATGACTGCTACTAATTTGTTTATCGTATTTACATTTACTACTGTTGCATTGTTACTTGTTTTGCAGGTTTGCCTTTATTTGCACCAGAAAACAGAAATGTTATGCATGGTGAGTTTGGCAAATCTTTACAACTGACATTTCAGCTCTACAGCAATCCTATTGTAGAAGAAGTATGGATGAAAGGCGCTGACATTGACTGTAGCCAGAACAAAACTATTCATAATTTAAGATTATCGGAAACAAAGCTGTTTTATTCGGCTTTTGGAAACAATTTGACTTTCAGCGGATTTGAAATTGCATTTGAGACAAACATGTTGGAACATAAGGATTTTTGTGCATACAATGTATGGGCAAAGAATGGATTTGGCGTAAATTTCTATACATTTGAAATCAGAGCATCTGGTAAGATAAATCAACAACTTAACAATATTAATTTTTTTTTAATCCTTTTCGGTAATGGCAATAATAGAATCAAACAAAAAATCGTATTAAGGTTTTAACTCAATATACACTACGTTAGCCCTTCGTTGAAAAAAATACGCAGCTTCACAACAAATGAACAAATCATGTCTGGAGTATTTTGTTTAACTAAAAATAGATCTTCATTAATACAAAAACGTCATCAGTCTTTAAATTTAACTTAACTCCAGACAAGCTGATAATTAATTCAACTTAGACTATTTACACCGAATCCTTCAAAAGTCATTGAGATCTTACAAGTATACTGATATCTATTTATTTTTTTTTTAGATATGCGTCCGATTCAAAAGAACAATTCTGAATCAGTTAAATTACAGTGATTAAACAAAAGTTACAAAAATAAATGTACAATCAAATTATTTAAAACTTCGTAATATATGCATAATATATGATAACACAACTACAAGTAAACCAATCATATATATATTGCCAAATCAGAGAATGTTTGTTCGTACTACCAGTACAATCAAACTTCTATATCGGCTGATATAAATCATGTCTTAGTTGTCTTACTTGTCATGTTAGCTGTACTTCCGAGTATAATTCATACATGAACATTTTGATTAGAACGAAAAAAAACACAATTGTTTGTTATGACAAATATAGGTGTGTACACAAAATCCAAAAAAAAATATCAAAACAACCTAAGGCGTCATCTAAGTCGTGTTTAAATCAATGCTCGAATCAATATCAACAAAAACACACATTTAGCAAAAAACTTTTACCATTAAATCTGAAATCTGAAATATAAAATAAAAAATGTTTGAAGCACAAAACTACACTTTGTATGGATAATTCAAGATTAAAAAAAACATTGGTGTTCATAATACCTCATTAAATTCCCATAACGCACACCAGTAGGACTATGTTTTATATTCAGATTCAAGATTATCTTCTTCTTAAGATTCCACTATAACCCTTAAATTCTAGATTTAATATTTTGTTATTTTTTATACAAACGATAAAATTTATCATCAGCTTTTCTTTAGATCTATTGTGATTTTCTTAAGCAGCACCATTTTTGAGGAAACTAAATTATTTTCTTTATATTTTCTCCATAGAATTTAAGGTACTGTTAATACTGTCGTTCTATTAATCCAGTTTGCCCATTAGCTAGTATTTCGAAATCAATGTAATACAAACTTCCATATTGGTTTATTAGTTTAAGTATTGTACAGAAACAAAGGTCATCACTCTCTTAGAGCTAGTTTGACATGGACCTATTTTCTGGCTGGCGTTTTTAAGATCTATCTTTTATGTGTTTATGACGTCACAAAATTCTAGTCTTTGGTGTAAATATATAGAAGATTATAACAAATAAATCTCTCTCTAAGTCAAAACTAAATGTAGAATCGTTAGCATTTTATCGTAAAAAATTGGTTTTGGGATGTGTTGGTGTTATCGCTTGTTTAAGTGACCTTGGTTATGTAATTGAGCACACCTTGCAACGAGTAGGATCCGAACTCACAACTTAAGAGTTAACAGGCTAGCGATCACTGTAGATGAACTACTTAGACCTATCGGCAAGAACAGTTGTGAACCTGCAGTAGATTTTAATGACGTAAGAATAGACAAAAAAAGTCATGGAAGAGGAAATTAATGGTATAATTTTTAAAATATCGATTGTGTAATTCGAAAACACTTTAGATTATGATAAAAAAAAAATCTTATTCCTTTGCTCTATCAATTGAAAATCAATCGTATATTTTGTATTTTAGGATATTTCCAGTACAACAAAATAGATAGCAACCGATTTATAGCAAGTTTCAGCATAGCCGCCGTATTATTGATGTATATAATAATAATTCATATGTGTTATTGTGCAAAACAGAGACTAGCACACACCAGGCAACGGTTCATACATGAACCAGAAAGAACCTCTTATCACGCTTACGATGAAATAACATCCATTTCGCACCAAGACTTCAATATTCGTAGATTAACTACTGTACAAAGAGAGCAGGGTCAGACCTCCAGATATCAGAGCAGTCACGGAAATGAATTTGACACAACCAGTACTAGCATTCAAAATGCAATAACTGATGCTATCAATACATTGTCAAGATCACCAGTTCATGAATCTCCGGAAAATGCGGTACGGCACGACTATTCATCAGAAGCAACAATTGATATTTCGTTAGCGTCGTCTAACGAGGAGAATGTTGAAGCCGATAGGAATTCTGGATACCACAGTGTTTCTTCAACATTTTTAGATAACACTGATATAATATTACAGCAAGTCCAAAGTAGGAATGATCAAGTAGATCAAACAGCAAACATAGAAAGAGCGTCACTATGTTCTACAATCAGTGGTGAATCCAGAAGCGTATCTAATTGCACAATATCCCTCAATGTGAATGTCGATGAAGGGTACGAAAATCCATACCAAATAGTTGTGCAAGTAAGCCAAGATCCTCGTCAATATAGCGAAATAACAAATCGTCGATTTGAGCAATTTGATAGCGCCCCGCCACAGTCTGACGAGCATTAAACAAATATAAGGGACTATGTCAATCATCGATTGTCAACTAATACGCAATTATCATTAAGAACAGTGTAAAGTTTTCAACCCTTTTGTTTGTTGATACAGTGCATACAAAGAGGCCAACATACAGTCTTCACTGACAAACATTCGTCTTTATACTATGCCAAGCGTTAAATCATGACGTACAAAAAATGTATATAATATTCGGTTAAATTCTTGAATAAAAAGAACATTTTAAAACTTCAACAGTAGTTTTCAGGAACTTGTCTATAGATATAATGTTTCTCGTAAAAAATAATATTATATGGTATATCTCAACTAATGTTATATTACAAATTCGTAAATTAACTAGAGCATTTAACAGAGGAATATATCTAAATTTTGGAAAATTCTAATATCTTGCAAATGCATGGGCTACATGCGTGATATACTATATTTTTGTTCAAAATGGTCTCACGATTTTAAATACTTACTGGCCTCACAAGCATACTGCAGGTTAAAATTGTCTTTATAATAAGACTTCATTTTAGTTATAAGTAGTTTTTTTTTTTCATTCGAGTCAGCATGCAACCATAAGCTGCGACAATCTAACTATTTTGATCTGAGCGTCACTGATGAGTCTTATGTAGACGAAACGCGCGTCTGGCGTATCAAATTATAAGTCTGGTACCTTTGATAACTATTTAGCTAAATCGCTGTAGTAGCGAGCAAAATTTGATACTACATGACATTTAACAAGAATAATTGGCAGTCTATCATTTCCTTGTTCATGTTAGTGGTCATACTGTTGGTAGCTGTATCTCTTACTTTTACGACATATGGTCTAGATAAGAAAAGAGAGTAGTGTGCGCACGTAAAACCTATTTGACCTCACCATTTGTGTGGTTGTACCAAGTCAGACTATCTGGACAAAGTGTTCTTCGTTGTTGTTTTTCATTTGTTGGTACGTCTATTTTTTTATTAGTTGAGTGTTGATGGTTAGTATTGGTATGTTTTACGGTACAATATTCTCTGTGAATCCTGTTAATCTTTTAATGCATTGTCCAATTTCTATATCATTGTATTCCTTCTAGAGTTAGAGGTATAGCGCATATAGTATTGTAATGTACATGCCGATTATGGCTCTTTGGTGTTTTTGATTGTGCAAAGCTTGACGATCTGTTACAATCCATACATATTAAGTACAAGAACCAATTAAATGATTTATTTAGGTATCTAGGGCTCTGATAAGTGGACACAGGGAATTATTGACTGCCTTAGTTACATAAAGGCATACTGGAAATAATCTCATGTTGACAAGAGTCTAGCCACTGAAGATTTATCATGAAAAAGAGAAGATATACAAAGGGCGCCTAATATCAGAAGTACAATAAAAACAGACAACACTATGGCCAAACTTTAAAATAGCATTACACAGAAAACTTTAGCTTGAGCAACAAGAAACCTACCGGGGGTAAACATGTGTGCTCTGGAGGGTAAGCATTCTTTATGTTTGGCACCCCATGATATTGTTGCTCGTGCACAAAAAAAATCATTGATAAATGTCATTTAGGTGTCAGACCACCAATTACTCCCTCCAATTTAGAACGCTTGTAAAAGTAGCCCTACTCTGACACAAAATAGTGCTTTTGATGTCATTGTTTACTTAAACTAACCAACAAATTTGCAGAAATGAAACTTTTGGTGAAAGAGAAATATATTTAGACCATTTTGAGCCAAAATTTAATAGTCTATGAGTTTGAATTAAACATTCAGGATTAATGCGCTCCAAGGTATACTAATTTAAGATCTCCAGAAAACCAGGGGTTATTTTTAGTAGACCTGTGTTCCGAAAGTCAGATTTTTCTTATAAGACTTTAAAGGTAGGTTGAAAATTGGCATGTAGAAAGGTGATACATGTAAGATTCAGGATATACCTGGTTTCTATGAAGTTAAACTTAAGGTAAAATATTTAGAAAGCTGTAAAAATTGCCAAATTTGGTTGAACAGATATGGATTTTTAATTGGTGGTCTGACACCTTCAAGGCGAAAAGCGGTGAATCCCAAAAATCAGAAAACAATTGATTTTTTTGTCTTAACTGATCATTTGAATAAAAAATTCAGGATTAATGCGATCCATAGTATACTAATTTAATATTTCCAGAAAACCAGGGGTTATTTTTGGTAGACCTGTGTTCCGAAGGACAGATTTTTCTTATAAGACTTTAAAGGTAGGTTGAAGATTGGCATGTAGAAAGGTGATACATGTAAGATTCAGGATATACCTGGTTTCTATGAAGTTAAACATAAAGTAAAATATTTAGAAAGCTGTGAAAATTGAAAAATTTGGTTGAACAGATAGGGATTTTTAATTGGTGGTCTTACACCATTGTAATATCGCTTTCGAGGGAAAGAGGACGGGATTGTGGTAACGACAAGTGGAACATTTTCCATATTTTTTTTAATTCTATTAATAAAGTTTCGTAAGAACATGTATCGTTGCTCCCAATGTTTGTTTAAGTTACCTATGAAATGTTCTAAAATGCAATATGAAACAATAGGGAAAAAAACTAGGAATGTAAACTCGGTGAGGAATTACTAATCTAGTGCTCGTTGGTTGTACTCGCTCGGGAAAATATCTAAGAAATGGGACACAATTATGCACATTTTACACTATGCGGATCGTTGTTGAGTGTTAAACCCTCTACATTATTATCTCGGACTAGACACTGATCACTGGAATGATATGCCATAATTAGTAGCTCAACCACTTAAAAGTACATCTCAGGACTGCATTTATATTTCTAAACGGAGCATTTCGGTAACATTTTAAACGACAATTAAAAAACAAACATTTCCGAAGGCTTCACGAGGAAATCAATTTTATGAAAATTATAGGAGGTGACAATAACCTAACTGGTAACTAATTAGTCGAGTATAATATTGTTATTAGATACTTGATACTACAGGGCGATACTCGAGTATTCGAGTATTCGTTGACATCCCAAGAAAATACGATATGAAATTCAATATAAATTCTTTAACTATGTCATAGTATTTCTTTTGATTTAATTAACAATTTCCGGATGGAGATGACAGCTAAAAAACATGACTTGTCTACCGTTCTGTGTGATTTAGGTATACTAATATCATTTTCAAAAGTTATTAATGCAATATCCTACCATTTCTTAATGTTTTCCTTGTGATTAGCTCTTACTTATTGAACAAAAACCTGTTTCGTGTAACAAAGGGAGCGGGACCATATCAAGTGATGTGGTTGCTAAATTCAAATTCAGTGATGGTAGGACCTCGAAAGAAAAAAATTAGTCAGATATCGTATTTGAACAATACAGGAAAGAAGCAATATATAGTTCATACTACATAAGATAAACAATTAAGGTGGTACCCAACACCTTGAACAATATTAATTTGGCCTGTTTAATTTTCATAAAATTTTGACAAAATGTTTACTTTGACCCTTTGAAAAAATATAAAAATTTCAAAAAATTTCAACCAACCACTTTATTAGAAAAATTTCATTGGTTATATAGCAGTTTGACTAACACTAATTTTGATCATTGAGAAGCTTGATATATCCTTAACAATACAACGTGATTAAAACGTCTAGCTGATTTTTACAGAGTTATCTCCCTGTAGTGTTAGGTACCACCTTAAATGTGATTTTTTAAAGCAAACACCGAAAAGAAACCAAAAGCCTCTACTTTACTGAATTATGAGAATCGCCTCGCATATAATCCTACTTTTTCAGATGGCATTGATAGTTTACAAATAAGAAAAAAAAATATTCAGTCAGTAGAAGTTCACTGCCTCATATTGTGTGGCTTACCTACTTTCAAGTCAAAATCTAGCTGTGGGGTTATTTTGCCAAGTGATTTAAGTAGTTCATGTGCAGCTATCACTAGTGTTCCGTATCCTTTTAGTTCGTAGGTTGTGAATTCGTACCAGACTCGTGGCAAGACGTGTTCGACTCCGATCTTAATTAACAAGGACCGCCAGTATTTCTGCGAAAGGTCGATAGTTTTCTACGGGTATTCAAACATTCTCCTCCTATTAAAACGTGTCGCCATTATTTAGCAAAGGTTGCTGAAAGTTGCATTTAAATCCGACAAAAAACAAAACACAAAAATTAGTTGAAGGTACAATTTTATCAACACTCACGTTATTCAATACTTAAAGAAGTAGCACAACTACATATTTAACTAGCTTAAAGGTCACTTTGATTTTTCATATTTCATTGACCAGGGCTGAGTCTTAGTTACGTTCCAAGGCAATATGTGGCCTACAAAATAAACCGCGGTATTGAGATGCCCTATTGTTATACCTATATATAGGTACATCTGTCAAACAAAATATCAAAGATGTGATGAATCTATAGATTTTGAATCACAGAAGGTTATACCAGTTAGTGTCATGTTAATATAAGGGATGTCTACTAGGAAACAAATTACTGATCGATTCTCGAGTACTAGTTCGGAAAATACCTTCAAAATGGGAACACAATTATACGCATTTTACGTTTTCTGGGTAGTTTTCTAATGGATATAAACCCTCTACGTTAGGAATTATATAACACAATAGTTAACTGCAATTACTGTTTTTATTTTCTGAGGGGCGTGTGCAAGAACATAAATCTCATATAAAGGAGAGTGTTCTAGCAGGAAAATGATTAGTCGAGTATCATTTTGGTATTCGATAATCGGCACTACCGAGCGATACTCGAGTTCTCGAGTACTCTTTGACATCCTTAGTTTATATTATATAGATAGTGGTATATCTTCATATATTCACTTATCTAATTGTTTAATGTTGACCTCTATTCGTATATAAACAGTGTCAGTTTTCTAGTTTTTCTTATCTATTTGGTTCGTTTTGTGCTCTTGAATCCGATTATTATTCCACTTTTATGGCGGATGATTTTGAATTTTCTACTGTGTATGTCTAAACTCGTTCATCTTTGTTGTCAACAGTTAATTTATTATCATCTATTGTGTGTATATTTAAGAAATTTGTCGATAAACAATCCAAGTAATGTTTGGTATCAATGAATGTTATAGCTTGGTATAGTCTATTGGTTTTACTTAAATAAAAAAGTTCATATTACTCAACGAGATAAAAAAATTGAGAGCAACCCAGACTACAGCATTTATGGTAGATAATCATTTTCATGCATAAAACTAAATATTTTCGAAGGTTTACACTTAT